TTATGATTACTTGTTGTAGACCTTGTGCTTCAATTTTTTTGGATATTGTGCCAATAAAAGGAGAAGAGATGCAGGGTAAAAATGAACCCATTAGCAACATCCTTGAGACCAAATATAATATGAATCCACTAGACAAACTACCTGTACAATCATCCACTGTGCCACCAGAATAAAATGTATTTCCTAGTCACAATAAATGAATGACAGAAAAGGCAAATAAATGAACACATAAAAGAAATTATATATAAAAAATAAAATAGTAAAATATTGGTCAGGTTAAGCTTTGATTTAATTCAGAATTTACAGGGCATTTTTTTTTCTCTTTTTCTTTTTAACTTTCATTCAAATGGAATATTCTTGATTTTCGTAGAGGTCCCCAAAAACCTTTTATTATATAACTCTTAAAATTTTGTGCATTGTTAACAATTACATATGCATAAGAGAGGAAAAAAATTCCTTACAACTTAATTATACATTAATACTCTCTTGACAACACAGACCCAAAATGGAGGGAAAACGGAAAAATAAAAATTGATATAACCCTTCCCTGTTTACAACAAAAATTAAATTGAGACAAAATTACAAACACATTTCACTACATGATTATTAATAAAAATCAGTTTCTTTTTATAAAGTTGCCCAAAATGCAAGGGATGTGCATAGGTTTACAACTCGGTTATAATAATTTTATTTAATTCCCTCGGGTACGGTTTCCCATGAACGGAATGTATGTTTCTGTAAGTTACAGTTTTGTTCAACACAGACACACCAACAGTATAAACGCTTGCGACTGTCCACATGCATTAAGACCCGGTTTTAAATCTCTATATTGTTTACAGACCTCTTCAAAGAGACAGTATCAAATAAAACTATTATTGTAAGCAGTAAATGAAAAAGGCCATTAAATATGTGGTATCTCCTCTTTCAATAGATGGCTATTTAGTGTAAATCAATTAAATATGCCTTTACTATTGGCCCACTGACTCTAAAACATAGTGTTTCATCCCTGCTAAATTAATGAAAACTCCCATTATTAAAATAGATTATAGAAAGCAGCATATCACTTGTGCAGTTTTCAGAGGCCTTTGAAAAAAAGCTATGGTTTTAAAAAATATAACATTCCAAAGAATTGAATAATGCAGATATTTAAAAAAATGTATGGTTTAACACAAAGGAAAGAAAAAAAGAAAAAAGAAAGATACTGTCTCTTTAAAATGTAAATTTGCTCAGTTCATTTCCATCTATTAGGACATAACAATAATTATAAATTCAGGTCACACTACATTTAGGTAGTCTCTAGGGGCCAGGACCAGTTGACATATGCCAACAAAGAGGTTTCTCCAAGTACTGCACGAGGTGGTTTAGAAGTAATAAAATGCCAATAGTTCTCGAGCATGGTCTAATACACCCAGGACACTGGAACCCACTGTGGTGCTGTGCACACAAGCTCAATGGCTTCCTCCAGATGTCTAATAGTTTCATCAATTTCATTGTTGATAATTGTTAGATCAAAGTAGTGTGCATATGTTCTCTGGAGGATCTCGGACTCTTTCTGCAGGCGTTGAAGAGATTCATCCTGTAAAATGAAAAAGCAAAAGATAAAATCAGTAACTAAAATCCAAAGAAGTGGGGCTGGAACACATTTCATGTCCAAGATCCAACGGTCATTGAGTGATTTTGAGATTTAAGGTACAAAGTTCTTAGCACCTGCAGCTATTTTGTATAAATAACCAACCCAACCTCTTTATTTTTACAAATATTCTTATCTTGAGACAACCCCATCTTATTTAATGAAACAATATTAAAAGCAATTATTTGATACAGGCACATATATTGCAAACACATATCATACATAGTTACAAAATGGACCTGTGTAGATGGGCTTTTGTTTGCATTAGATCTACTCTGCCCATAGATGTCAATGGGAATGTAAAAGCAACTTTAAACAGGTTGTCGCACCTTGGAGGTGAGCTGCCTGTCAATTAACTGTAAATGATCTCAGAAACCTCTAAATGGATCTATAATTCCAGCAGAACGTACATAAGATGTAGGGCTGCAACAACTAATCGACATAATCGATTATTGAAAAAGTTGTCAACTTTTTCAATCATCGATTAATCGGCTTCTGATAGGTTGGCCCTGTTCACGTCTCCACAGGGGGTGCTGGGATTTGTATTCCTCTATAGCTGATGGTACATTGTGCTGTATATTAAACAATGTACCATCAGCTATAGAGGAATACAAATCCCAGCAATACATTGTACACTGTATGTATAACGTATTGCTGGGATTTGTTGTATCCCTATGTAGCTGGTGGTATTCTGCATTAATAATACATTATACAGCGCCATGTAGAATAACACCAGCTGTAGATGAGTACAACAAATCCCAGCAATAATAAATTATACAGTGGTGCAATGCCAAATACCACTAGCTATAGAGGACTACAACACCCAGCAATAGTACATTATACATCGCAATGCGGAATAACGCCAGCTATAATGTATTGCTGGGATTTGTTGTATTCCTCCTATAGCCGGTGCCATTCTGCATTCATTGCTGTATAATTTTACACTTTTCATTTCACTATATTGCACACCACACTTTTTTTCTTTTTTACTTCCACCGCTCCAAGCTTGCTCCTGTGATGCACTGCAATCTCAATACAAACTAGTAGTCCCATCACTGGAGCCATTCTTTTAATTCTTTTTAATCCGATTAATCGAACTTAATAAATCGGCTAACTAATCGATTTTGAAAATAATCGTTAGCTGCAGCTCTAATAAGATGCATTTGCCCATCGATACAGGCTGAGGCACAGGTGGTCTCAATAAATATACACTGTGAGACGATCTAGTACCTATAGTATGGGGAATATTAAAACGAACAGATTCAGTTGTTCACAGTTAATGCCACAAATCAGAGTGGGGCACATTCTATAATGTTCTACCAGTCCCAGCAAAATAGCACGTGTAATCTAAATTATGTTGAGAGCTGAATCTAAGGAACAAGAAATGAAATTGTATTTTAAAGTATTGTCTTTAAATGCAAAGTTCAGGCATACAGGTGAAACTCGAATAATTAGAATATCGTGCAAAAGTTCATTTATTTCACTAATGCAACTTAAAAGGTGAAACTAATATATGAGATAGACTCATTACATGCAAAGCAAGATCGTTCAAGCTGTGATTTGTCATAATTGTGATGATTATGGCTTACAGCTCATGAAAACCCCAAATCCACAATCTCAGAAAATTAGAATATTACATGCAATCACATGTGGAAACTTCACACTGGACTTCAAGCATCTTGCAGTGTGTGCCTCTCCATTCTTCCTGCAAGATGTTTGAAGTCCAGTGCCTCCTCTAATGCAAAGATGCCTCCTCTAATGCAAACAATATTTTAATTATTGGAGTTTCACCTGTATATGGCAGCCCACAAGCTGCCATTTCCCTGCAACTGCAAATCAACATAAGTAGAAAAGTCATTATATAGTGAGCAATGAATCCACCCCAACCTGGCAAATAATGAATAATACAAGAAAAAGTGTGTATGTAAAGCACAACATTATAAAATGGTAAATAAAAAATAAATCCCAAGCACAGTTCTGTCCTATTTTGTGGCATAACCTTTTCTTCTACACATGTCCGGAAATCAAGGGAGATAGGGGGAATGATGTGATGGAAATGGGGCAGACACTGAACACCTTTGTAGGACAGGACAAGACAGCGGTAGCAGCTAACTTAGGGTGACTGTCACTTAATGTGAAAAGTCAGCTAACTGTGACGTGTAATATGAGTTCTAAAAAAGTGCAACATTCATTTTTTATTTTCTTTACAGGCGTATTACTGTAGAACCAGAACAGGTTTAATGGATACATTTTCTAACAAATTATGATTAATACTGTAATGAGTCATTCTATCCGTATTTATTTCTGTTATATGGAATTTATGGTTCTGGTGCAATAAAGTGATTTATTGTGAATGCAACCGTGGACACAAAGAGAATGCAAAATATTTTGGCGGCCATAGGCTTGTTTACCCAATATAAAATCTGTTTTTCAGAGTTATAACAACAGAGGATTCAAGTTTTTTCAATGTGAGATTTCAATTGCCAAGTAACATAAATGTTAACAGTCTGTTGCAAATGAGCCCACAGTCTGCAAGTGGTAAAACTCACACCACTTAGAGATCAGAAATTGTGCTATGCAACTGAGACCTCTCTTTGGATTTTAAAAGCAGGTTTTACATTTAGCCCCTTTTGTTTAAACAAAAAAACAGATTACTGCAGAATTTGCAAATATTACTTGAAGTTGAGATGCCCTTCCATGTCTAGTCATAAAGCTGACTGAGCAGTGTGCCGTTTCCATAACAGCTAGCACTGAAGCCACCCAAACAGTATTCACTGTATGACAGACTTTGATTTTACACCGCAAGCTCCTTTAGTACCAGTGACTGATGCCATTGGTCTGATGGTTTTTATTAGGAGCAGCATAACATGTTGAGGCTTATATAAAATAATAAACATGGAAAACTATAGCAGAGTGGTCCACTGGCTTGGAAACCTAAACGCCTAACAGGCTAGGCAGAACACTAGCTATACTTTTTGCAAATTAAAAGCAACTTTTTTTTTTAATCTAATCCATTCAATCTTTGCCATTATCTGACCTATCTAACATATACTTCGGCTAAGTCCTGACAGTGTACAGGGCCAAAAAGAAATACTGCTAGCCAAATAGCGAGGACCATTTGCTGCAAACAGGTTCATTTAGGATGGTGCTATACAAAGCTTTCTGGGCAATTTTAATAAAGATGGATACCCTTGACTGAGGATTTAAAGAGCAGATGAAACTCATGGAAACTCCCTCCTCATGCTAAACAATTAAAAACCATAAATGCATGACCAACCAAAACTGTTCTCAACATTGCACACACAACTTAATGGCTGTATTAAGTGCTCTTCTATCGTGTCAATTCTACATCACTGTGAATCAAGTTCATGCTCTTCAAGTACCAAATTTATGACAGGACTGCCATTACCTTCTATAGTGATGTCTATCTGCACAGTGCACATGCTGGGCTTGATTCACTGTGATCTGTTGTTTACAGGGCATAGGTGCAGAGCTAAATGCAGCCCTGCAGTCAGTGTTGTAAACATTTTAGTAGGGCTGTGCAAATTAACGATTAATTTCTCGATTAATCGTTAATCTTTTTGATCGATTCAATTTTTTTTGATCGCTAATGAAAATACTCACCTCTCTGTCGGCTTCCGGGAGTCCCGTCGGAGATCCGGATGACGTCATGGACATCGACGTACTCCTTCCCCAAGTGGCTCCGTCGGCTAACGAAGGGAAGGGGGGAGGAGTCCGGTGACGTCGCTGTCCCCAAGTGGCTCCTTCGGCTAACGAAGGGAGGGGGAGGGAGGAGTCTGGTGACGTCGATGTCCCCAAGTGGCTCCGTCGGCTAACGAAGGGAAGGGGTCCGGTGTCATCGATGTCCGTGACGTCACCTGACTCCTCCCCCTTACCTTCGTTAGCTGACGGAGCAACTTGGGCCGGTGAGTTTGCCCAAGAAATTTTCTGCACGAGTGCCAGCCAAGTCATTGGCCTATACACCATACAGAAAAGCAATGAAGTAAGAAAATGAACTAGGATCACTCTAATCCAGCACGTTATTATTCTGAGTTGCCCCACTCAAGTGGCGGCCATATTGAGTGGGGCACGTGAGATTAATAACGTGCTGGATAAGTGTGATCCTACTTCATTTTATTACTTCATTGCTGTGCTATATGTGTATAGGCAAATGTAGTTGGATCTGTATGTGCGTTATAATTAAATCGATGACATTTTTTTTCGATTAATCGAACACGAAAATTTTAAATCAGTAACAGCCCTAGGTACCAGATGCAATTAACGTTTGTAATGTTAAGGATGAGGTAGGGAATATTCTGTAGCTTTACTGTTGACGTACAACTGTACTTAAATGTTTGTTTAAAAAAACAAAAAAAACAAAACAAAAACGATCTTAACACAATATTTTAAAAGCAACAGCCAAGGGGAAGAGGCATCTAACTAGCAAAATCTACAAAAGCTACCATCAGGTTCTGCTGTACAAACCCCTCTCTGGTACTTACAGGTAATTTTCTGCACCATCGTGGAAGCTTAGCAAAATGTGCAAGTGTGTAAGTAAAAGGGAAAGAATAATTCAGGAAAACACAAAACAAAATTAAAAGAAGAACATAAACCACTGGATAACAGAAATGAAAAATAAAGACACCCTGCCAAAACAATTACATTAGCTGATTGGGCAGCCTTTAACTAAAATGATAGACATCTATTTTGTCCTATATGAAGATCCATATTACCCTGGTTATTCCCATTGCTATGCCCATTAGTACTGTGAAAGTCCCACTGATTTCATGGGAATCTGACAGCTTGGCACAATAGCAGCACACTCAGGGAAGGTTGTCACCAAAGTAACCTTATAGGACTGGATCTTCACCACCTAGCTGAAAAGGCAAGCGCAACATTATGAACAGAGTTTCCATCCTAAGCAAAATGTAATAAGAAAAACTAAAAAAATGGTATGCGCTGAAGGAAATAAATATGGCTGACCATTTTCAATAATAACTAAATTGTAGGTGCCTTGATGTATAAATTAACATCACATATTATAAAAAATTAAAGTACAAAACGGATTGATTCTCTTCCACTCTGTGTTGCTGCATGAGTAACTTTTAGACATTAAAGATTCTTAAAGGTCATGCATAGTGTTTTTGTTGGGTGGGACTGCAGTTTCACAAGGGGCACCACCATGCATTCTGTATATTACATTAAATATTACATTTGGCAGGAACTGTAGACAGGGATGTATGTTGTGTGGATGGTTCAAAGGTATAGTTCTGGGTGAGAACAGGGAGCTGGAAGCATATGTAAGAAACAAAACTACCTTACTCCTGAGGAGACATCCCCACTATAACATGGCCTCTGGATTCATGCACGACTTCTCACTAGTGGCTAAGAATGATAATACTCCATAATACAATGGAAATGTGAAGATGATTCTATGGTTTCCGGTTACTCGCTATAAGACAAGCGAGTGGTTTAATGCACTACAGCAATGGCTGAAACACAAAAAGCATTGGGATGGTAGGCTGTGCCCCCTGAATGTATTTTATGAGTTAATTTCCATCTTTGGCTTGAGCGTACTTTTAAGGCTCATATACCGTATTTTTCCATCTATCAGACGCCCCCACGTATAGGACGCCCCCCACTTTTCTTACCCAAAATTCAGAAATCAATATTTCCCATGCTCTTTGGCATAACTGATTACATCCAGTTTACATTTTGCAGAGTAAGACAGCTGCTTCCTGGTACCGGTATTTTTTTTGTTTTCTGACATTTTTATGGGCTCAGAATGCTCCGACATTACCCCTCCCTGTTGCATCTGGGCACTGGCTACAGGCTTTCCGCAGCATCAGCTGACGTCGGGTACATAAGGCTCATGATTGGAGGAAACCTGTTAGCTTGTCTCTGCAATCGGAATTTTCGCTCGTGAGGCTAGTTTGCAGAGGTATCGGCAGTTTCACAACCACGGTTCTCCTCTCGGCCCCCTGTGTATAAGACGCCCCTCCATTTTTAGGTAAATATTTTTATGAAAAAGTATAGTCTTATACACGGAAAAATACAGTATAATTTTTTTAAGAAAATAAACCATCAACCTTAAAGTATTAATATCATGGAAAATAAATTTAATGTAAAGCCCAACCATTAAAACTCTTACAGCAGTAGCTAAAATAGAAAAACTTTAAAAGGCTAAATATGACATAATGGCATAGTAAAGAAAAAGGAAATCCTAAGCTTACCTCGGTGATGCTTGGGGTTATTGTGGGTGCAGCAATAAAGACCACAAAAGGAGCAAATTCTGCTGTTCTCAGGACTTTAAGAGCCTAGAAAAAAAAGGACAGCCACCTGATTAGTCTAAGAGCATCTACACAAAGATTATCTTCTTCCCTACAATTCATCAATCTGAATAAAAAGTAAACAGATCTCAAAGCTACAAAGTATCTTAGAAAACATAATTCTTATAAGGTAAGATAGCAAAGTAAACAAATATTATCTAATGTTTGCCCAAATTAAAACATACAAAAAAAACAAACCAGAAGCCATAGCTATTTGTTAGGACCAGACAGCTTAAGTTTGACAGACATGGGTGTGACAGTAGGTTGCATAGACAGACCCACAAGGGAGAACAAGGTCTTTAAGCTTTTATCTTCATGGTCCTTGAAGACTGGGACATGAAGATTGTTAACATTTTTTTTAAAGCAGGGTCCACAACTGGGATTGTCCATTTCTTTAGGAACTCTTCTTTAACAGGGTATTGCTGAGGAACATTTTTGGAGGGACAAACACCTTATCAGGGTGGGAACAGTCACTGTACATAACAGGCTGTACAAACAAGTGTACAGGGAATGTTTTTACCAGTCCAGGCATCCAAACTTATAACCGCTTGTCAAGGTCGATGCAGGTTAGTCCAGGTGGAGGCATATATGCCCTGCATCAATAAGGATAGAACAGTATCCTATATTTGGGAGAAATGTCAACAGATTGAACCTCCTCTTGTGATGACCCCCTAGGGCCAGATGAGGTACCATCCTCACCCTCCTCTTCAGGGAGGAAGGTTGGAAACAGACTATAGGGAAGAGGAGGAGGGGGCATGCTTGCGGCCCCTGCAGTCTGTTACCGTATGAGTTTATGTCAAATCTTCATAAGACATATGTATATAGTTTTATTTCTTGTTTTAAATATTTCCCCTGAGGTGTTGATAGCTTGTAGGGAAATAAAATCTTTGTTGTGTTTATCACTGTGGAGGGGAGTAGCAGGCCCAATGAATTGCAAATAGGGTCATCGTTGAGCCCAGGCGTGTCCAGATAATTACCATAGAGGTGCAACTTCAGTATCCTGTTTAACAGGAGCCAAGACCCTTTGATCTAATAATATGTAGACTGACCAATCGTAGAGAGGGGTGTGGAGTTGTAAAGAGGGTCTTGGAAACCCTCCAATCTCCATTAGGCCTTGGGAGACAACCAATTGGGAGACTTGCAATGCATCCTTATGGACACCAGGGGTATATTAATGACTGGAAAAAGGAGCTCTCTCTCTTTTTCACCAGGATGGGGCCTCATGTGACGATTAATGGGTAACTATACATATAATCTTTCACCCACTTAACTGTATGTCTGTGTGTCTGTTAGATACCAATGTCTGGGTATTTGGAATGTTTAAATCTTTTCTTTGTATGTTGTAGTTAAATAGATTGTTGGTTCATTGTATTTAAGTCTTGATACTATATACCAATAAATTCTGTTATTGTGTTGAGCTCAAAAATCTCATGAATGAATCCTTAGAATCTCAAACCTGTAAGTGTGAATGCTTATATAGCGGTTCATAACTTAAAATAGTAATTCAGGTAACAAGTCTGAGGCTTCCAAGATAGCTGAAATTTTCCTATAGATTCAGACATTGAAGCACAAAATTCCTCCCTAGATATGTAGGGTGAAGAAGGTGTCCCTGAAGAGGTTAAGGGGAACTCTTAAGAAGGCAGGCACACAGACTGAGGAACACAGCTGGGGCTAGAAGTGTCAGAACCGATGAGGGCCCCCCCAAGAAAAGCAGGCAAGGATGGGTTATGCATCCTATGAGAATCACTTCAGACAGCTGGGAGTCCCAATGTCCAGAAATCGCCTGTGCCGAATAGAGCAGTGAAAATGGAGAACTGCATCCGTGTGGTTGGTATGTGTGCTCCTGTGGTCCAAAATGGTGTGCATATGCGCAGTAAGCCTAATCGGAATGGATGCCGATGAATCTTGATTGTAGTATTGTTTTAGACATTGTAGCTCCACATCGTGGTTCTATATTAGTTCATAGCCCAGTATAAAAGTTTGGGTCATGAAGTAGACAAAGATTATGAAAATAATCAGTGGCTGTTCTGTATATAACAAAATATGGTCACATAATATAACAATACAGTAATGCAGGAAAGGCAGAGAGAATTCATCTGACAATCTGCCAGGTATAGTGCTGAGCCGGAGAGCTTAAAAAGGAGAGGATAGGTATAATTATTATTGCACATATTTGTTGGAGACAAGGGCTGCGGTGAGGCTTGCAGCAGTAGGTAACCAAGCCGTAAAAGACATAGGCACTTAAAGACTTACAAAACAGCAATTCCTTGTTACACAAAGTGTAACTGCACCTTTGGCAGAAAATATGCTGATGTCAGAAATAATAAAATAATAACTACAACTTCAGATATATTAAAAGTTACCTGAGGTTCTACATCAAGTATTGCAATAAGTCCCTGTTCATGGATCTTTCGTATTGTTTCCAGTTTTGTCCCATACATAGCATCCTCATGGCTGCCATATTCCAAGTATTCATTGTTGGAGATATCTTGCATCATTTGGTCATGAGATACAAAGAAGTAATTCTTCCCATTTTCTTCATCTTTCTTTGGAGGTCTTGTTGTGTCTGAAATTTGAGACAAAACCAATGCACTAAAACTCTTGCCAAAGTACTTTTATTTTAATTACAAACATATCTATTAGCTATACAGAACTGCTTACATACTTTTTTCCTTCAGTGACCATTATTGCTGAAAATATTTGTATAAGCAAATGTAAATTGTTTTGTGGATTAAAACACTTTTCATATGCACAAAATCATAATGAGCAACGTATAACAGATGTCTGTTGGTGTTTGTAGGTGTCAATATCTTCTAAAGTGTCCCAAGACACAAAACCCTGACTTTGCAATGCAAGGTAATGGTTGGCCTGCTTCTCCCTCATGCATAACCACTGGTTCTTATATGACTGCTTAAAGTCTCCACCAGAAGCAGATGTGACAGAGTGAAGATACAGGACAAAGTTGTTACCCTATAACAGGAAGCAATTAAACAAGGACCTATACAGTACATTTCTGCAATACTATATTTTATCTCCTTATAAACTCTGCAAGTATAGAAAACTCCACCAATCTCCACCCCTCGCTGTCCCACTCAATATGCATATTATTTTTCAGCAAACAATGCTGCTGACTTGGTTCTTAAGGACATGACCACACACAGTGTGCAGGGAAATTGCTTTTGGAGATGTAGTTCTGGGGGGTGTGGCGGCAAAGTCAATAGGAACTAAGCTCCCAGCAGCTGCCCCTGCACGGATTTAAAAGTCTGGTGATGGTCATAGGGAATTATAAAAGCTGTCTCTTGATACAGAAACAAGTAAAAAACAAAAAACAATGCTGGGACATGCTGTAGAGGGAGGTTTGGGGTTAAATCTGGATATTGCCTGGCCACACTCTTTAATGCAAACTATAGATTAAACATGATTGGAAGTTACTTTTGAAATTACCTTAACAAGTCAAAGATAAGACAGGCATGTCAAACCAACAGTGGGATGTACTGAGTGAATTTTCAAATGGCCAGAAAATTATTATAGCACTTCAGTAAGTAACATAATAGTAACTTACGACGTTATCCCAAAGAAAGGGAGCATTTTCTAAAGTATTTAGAAGCAACATTATGTAAACATGATGTAAAGGAATGTAGTTATTAACTGGAGAAATGCTGGGGGCATTATCCAATTTAATCCTTAAACTAAGAGCCGCAAAGGAGTGAAAGGGCCACAACACTAGTTTAACATGTCAATTAGAGGTGCTTTAAGATAATTTTTTTTTTGAACAATAAAAAATCCAATCACTCAATATTTTATGAAATCTGAACTCCAATATTTCACATTACAGTACTTACGTGGGATAGGGTAAGCAAATCTGTCAGGATGTTTAGTAATTAGTGTATTCTTTATGTGTCGTCTGCCAACACCATGTGCACCTAGTAAAAAAATAAATAAATAAAAAAAATAAATAAAAAGGTAAAATAAATTAAGATTACAATTTGTTTCATTGAAGCTGCCAGAACAAGAACTTCAGGCAAAATACATTACCTAGAAGGACTAGTGTTTTCCTTTTGAAGGCAGGCAGTTTAACTACTTCTTCATAAGTGACGAGATCTAATTGATCAAAAACTAAAGAGAAAAAAACCCAACACATTAGAACATTTCTCTAAGATATCATATCATTGTTCAATTATCTTAACAGTGATAGAGTCTCAACCAAAATGCTAATTCTCACACCCGTGACCACTTATATTTTAATGTATTAATGGTAATTTGTACTCATCTTGCTGGGTATTTTGCAGCACATATCAAATACTCTAAAGAATTAGAAATTAGAAGGAATATCTATCTACCTGACTGTACAGTCTCTAGAACTCTATTTGTATATGCAGTTTCCAAATCCCTGTAACACATGTACAGTATATCTACATAGCAGTGAGAAGTGTACTGGAGATGCAAATTATGGGTACACAAACAGCAAATTGGTTTTCTACTGTTTAAACGCAGATTGTGCAAAACTACAACTAGGAGATTTGAAATTTGATAATCATAACTGAGGAATAAATGCAAAACATATGTGGAGGACACTTGTATTGGAATAATTTCATAAGGTTAAACCTACAACTAAATATTATATTATATTACTATAGTATTGCCGCTGCAACAAGTATATACACAGCCAGTTGTGACTCTGTAAACTGGTTGGGCCTATTTATCTGTGTTTTGTATGGACAAATGTCTCTAAGTTTAAAAGTACCCATAGACATGAGATCGCAGTCACTTGGGGTAGATCACGTGATACTCTCATATCTCCTGGCTCCAGTGGGTACCACAAGCCATGCATTCTGTATGCAGCTCGCTCTTCTCATCCTCTTCTATCATGTTTACAGCAGCTCTGGCAGACACAGGTAACTAAGCAAGGCTGGATCATGCCAGTGCATCTGACCACCTTCTCAAGCTTATGGACACCTTTATGTTTCGCACTGCCAGCTATGTACGAACGTGTCCGTTACAATAAATATTTTAACTGAATTTGATTTTAAAATGCAATCAAACTATTACCTAAATATTTGAATTCTTGGCATTTCTGCTGGCTTACTGGAGCATACAAATTTACTGTATACATAACTGCAGGTGGCACAAGTCGTAATTGATTACAAAGACATTTTTTCAGCAGGGCCTTCGAATAGTAAAGTAGACCTCCACACATAATTTGGAAGCAAAGTCATTGCAAAGCTCTCATGTAAAGGTTTTTTAAAATTGTATTTGCAGTCTTGATGAGTATCATCTGCTTCCTCTAGCAACTATCATCCTGCAGCTTATATGGGGTTGGTGAACTGTCCACTAATATCAATTGATTCAAATAGACAGTGAAGTGAAAAGACTGCCAATATCATTTTACTGGGCTAAACCTTGTAGCTCAGGCTGTCTAGTAAAGAATCATTTACACGTTACATGCTCCTCTATCATAACTAATGCACAACATAAGTAGTCTTCAATCTAACTATCACCTGCGGTAAATAATTGAACTTGACAATACATGCTTAAAAAGCAATTTGGTAGAGATTGGAAAGAAAACTAAAAACGACCTTCAAGCAACTATTTAGAACAAGCAAAAAGTGATTCTTACATGCATAGTATTGTGATGCAAGGTTTTAATTTTCTAACATGCAATGATTCTTGCAAAAGGATGAACACAGTCATGCTATTTGAACTCATTTTATTCTAGAACAGTGTTTCAGGGAGATGTAATTTTCTGTATAAAATCAGAAAGTACAGGTTTTCTAGGCTGATGTTTAAAATCAGAACACTGTGGGAAAATAAATGCAAATTCAAGTTGCCATTATATCCATTTACAATGATACAAATCAGAACTCTGTGTAATGTAAATAAGCAATAGGTAAAACACTGTTCTACAATAAATCTATAGTGACTACTACAGAGGAAAAGTGAAGTGAATTCTAGTGCTCTGGAATACGCTCAGCTACTGACAACACAAGCTAAACCAGTAAATGCAGTTCCTTCATTATCTTACAGTTACTACCACAGCACATACCAGGCAGTAAGTGTGTTCGCAGCTTAAGAGTCAATATTCATTCTCAACATTGAATGGTTGGCCAGCGATTATCAAAGTGTGTGCTTAGATGATGAGAGGCTACAGCCCCACGGGCTTAGTGATGCTAAATGATTGTCTGTAGCCCATCCCATATACGGAGTAATAATTAGTGGCCTGAGTAAAACGGGTATTTAGCAAGCTTATTTACCACTTTCCAGCAGTCTACCATCTAAGCGCCCACTCTTATAATTCAGTTTAGCATCTCTTATAATTCACATGGCCCTGTCACACAACATAACACCAACAGTCTATATTACTACCCCACCAAAAGAATCCTCAAACTTGTTGAGCACATCCAGTAGACATTCTTTAACACCTCTACACTACAGCCCTCAAGGCCTTTCAAACATGGCAGGATGACAGTACCGTGAAATGCAATGCAGCCTGACTGGTTCAAAATGCTGCAACTCCCATTCTCAGCCTAATTTCTGATGAACAGTGTATTATAGAAAGCAAGTATAAATAAACAGAATAACTATACTAACAGTAGAAAAATGTACATTTTAGTATTGTGTGACTACATGCATCGCTTAACTAAAACATGGTTTCTGTATGGGCCTGAAAATTCACAATAAGTGCGCTTTCACTTCAGGACCCCAAAACAAATAAACAGCATGGTCCTGAAGTGGTTATACCAAGATTAGAGCTGCTGCATCAACTGTCATTTTGGTACCGATCTTTTTAGCCATCGCTCGTCTGTCGAGCCCCACTGGGCCTGGGACCAGCAGGGTGGATCTTTGTGGCCTAATCATAGGGAGATTAGCACACTTCCATTGTCTGATCTCCCCTCTGATCACTGAAACCGGGAAGCAACAAGGATTGTCATTTCCGGTTTCAAGCTGTCATTCCTCTGGCTGCTGCGGCCATAGAGAAGCTGATGAAGCATCATCTTTGCTTCATCAAGTCCTCTAGGTGATATTAGGGGTCTAATAGGTCCCTGATCTCTCCATAAATAGAACCTGTCATTTTCTCTATGCCATCACATAGGGGGCGTGTTCGTTTAAACAACTTTTTGGGCGTTTAAAAAAATGTTTTATAGGTCAATTTTATTTTTAACCAGTTGACATCCGCGGTGTTAAACCCTATTCCCATCTAGGCCATTTTTCAGTATTCAGCGCTGCGGTAGTTTGACTGACATTTATTCCATCATGCAACGCTGTACTGAAATTAATTGTATACCATTTTTTAGGGACAGATAGAGCTTTCTTTTGGTGGTATTTATTCACCACTACAGGTTTTATTTTTTACTATATTAAGGAAAAATTACCGGGGAAAAAAAAAAACAGTTTCCCCCTATATTAAATGATAAAACATTTATTATTACCCAATTTTTTAGTAAAATATAAAAGACGGGGTCACGTTGGGTAAAAAGACACCAAACATGTCAAGCCATAACATTGCGCGCGCGCGAAACCTCAAAAACCCCAAAATTGGCCATAGGCGACGCTTTAAAAGCTTTTACCGCTCATCAGTTTAGTGTTATCAGTGATTGATGGCCCTAAAATGATTTAGCTTTTCAGTTGTTAGCGCAGTGCTTTGCAGCACTGGGGTCCATGGTTTCCTAGCCAAAACACTGCCTGCATGCAGTTTGCATGTTGTATCTGTGCGGGGTTGTCCCTGTGAGGGTTTCCTTCGGGTACTCAGGTTTCCTACCACACTCCAAAGGGACTGTTTTGAATGTACAATTTGTAAAGAGTTTTGTAAATTGTTACCTGTAATAAATATATAAAAGTTTTGGCTGCATTTGTTTTCTTTTTTAGATCGCTTCCCCTTTATTGTTACCTGGTAATGCTGCAAATAAACATTTTGTGCCTTTGGGTCCACACTTATTACTTTGTGTATATAGTGGCAGGTATGGTCATCACACAGGCTGGACATAAAACATGTCTGCCTCTGTTCATCTCCAACACACATTTTTTTGAAAGATCAACATGTATTTTCTGAACTTGCTGAAAATATTCTTAGCTTGAAAATGGGGACCAATGCACCCATCATGTTCAAGGACTGGTAAGTTTTAATATATTACATTTTGTTTGTTTAAGGTTTAGCTACGCTTTAGCCAAGTGTGAGTAGTACAAGGCACAATGAAATGTATATGATACTATGAGGGTAATGCCACTTTTTGACATCAAGTCCCTGTTCACAAGAGGGCGTTTGTAGTTTGTATTTTTCAGCACGGAAAAGCTCTGCACAAGCCTGTAAGTATGCGCCTCTTTTTAGTTAAAACAGGGCGATGCGACGACTTTTTCCTATTCCTAATCATGCTGAGTTGCCCAAAAAAGAAGCGTGTATCTTTTTTCAGCACGCTGTACTGAGACGAGGGACGGGGGAAGATCAATTGGATTTCTTGTGCGGAGCTTTTCTGTGCTGAAAATACGAGCTACAAACGCCCTGGTGTGAACGGGGACTTCTTTCGAATTGTTTAGTAAAACAAACGTTTGCTAATTTTTCCTTTAAAGTAATAACAATTACAGCAGAAAGCAGAAATTCCAATCTAAACACTGCTGTGTTCTGCATAATCTGCATCAGGAAATAAAGTTTCCATAATATAATTTTTTCCCCAAAAACCTTTAGGAAGGAAACCTCAAAGCCCCAAATTATAGATATGGTACCAGTTTAAAATATACAACAAACAGCAACATAACCGTGACGGTTTTCGCACCAGGCAGATTGCCAAAACCGCACTTGCTAAATGATAACTTACTCTAATCAGCATTTCTACTCTATATGCCTAATTTATAGCGCTATCAAGATGAACAATATTTTAAAAGGATATCTTGAATTAGTTTTACATAGTAACCTGAATGCAAATCAGAATCCTGCAATTTTTGGGAAGCAATGCTCGACCTCCTTGCATTGTTTGCTTTTTTTTTTTAATAAGGAAACAGCATATTAAAAGGAAAGATGGCTGTATATGGGCATGGAAAAGGAGTGGGGTGGAATTCTCAGTATGTTGACTGATTGATAGGGGTTGCCATGTAAAGGTGGTCACAGACATAGCATAAGCCTGGCC